CCAAGGGCCGCGCCCTTCCGCGCAGCGCCGTCCGCGCTGGCCAGGGCTGGCCCGCGGCCTCCGCCAGCAGCGAAGCCTCCAGCTCGTCCGCCAGCGCTGCTCCGGGCGGCGGCTCTGTCAGGCGCGCGCGGCTTGGGGGTGGCGTGCGCCTCGCCCAGTTCCCTCGGGCCAAGCGCTCGTGCGCCTCCGCGAGCACCTCCGCTGGGCAGCCCAGCAGCCGCCCCATGGCCACCGCCTCCCCGAAACAATGGGCATGGCCGCCCAGGCGGTCGCCCAGCGCCCAGTGCGCGGTCAGGGCCTCGCGCAGGCCCCTTGTCCTGCAGGCCAGCGCCGCCGCCCGCGTTTGCCCCCGCTCCTGTCAGCGCTGACGCCGCAGCCACCGCGCCAGCGTGCGGGCGCTAGGCGCAGCCCACCCCCGTCTATCCACGGCCACTGGAACGCCCGCCCGCGTCCACCGCACGCGCGCCGCTAGGGCCTCCAGCATCCGAGCTCGCTTAATCCAGCATTGCTACTGATGATGATGATGATGATGATGATGATGATGATGATGATGATGATTGTTTTTTGATGCTGATGGTGATGCTGAGATGCTGATGCTGATGCTGATGCTAATGATGATAATGATGATGATGATCATGATCATGGTGATTGTGATGGTGATGATGATGGTGGTGGTGGTCGTCGTCGTAGTGGTGACGATGATGATGGTGGTGGTGGTGATGATGGTGGTGATGTTGATGAGGATGTTGATGAGGATAAGGATGAGGATGATCAGAATGAGGATGATGATAAGGATGATGATGATGATGATGATGATGATGATGATGATGATGCTGGTGATCAGGAGGAGGAGGAGTAGGACGGTGGTGATGATGATCGTGATGGTGATTGTGATGGTGATGAAGCTGGTGGTGGTGATGGTGATTGTGATGATGTTGAGGAGGCGAGTGATGATGATGCTGCTGATGATGAAGATGGTAATGGTGATACTGATTATGAGGAGAATGAGGCCCATGATGAGGATGATGATGGGGATGCGGATGAGGATGATGATAAGGAGGATGTGTATTAAGATGAAGATGAGGATGCGGATGAGGGCGATGATGATGAGGTTGATGATGGGGATGAGGTGGACATAATGATGATGAGGAGGAGGAGGAGGATGGTGACGAAGATGCTGATGAAGATGAGGATTATATTGATGTTGCTCAGGATGATGATGATGATGATGATGATGCTGATGCCTATGATGATGTGGATGATTATGAGGGTAATGTTGATACTGATGATGATGTTGAGTTTTACACTCATGATGATGATGGTGATGGCGGTGGTTACCGTGATGAGGACGAGGATGAGGAGTGAGGCCGATGATGCTGATAATGACGATGATGGGGAGGAGCAGGATGATGAGGATGAGGATGTGGAAGTTGACGATGGTGATGATGATGATGATGATGATGATGATGATGATGACGATGCTGATGATATTGATGCTGAGGGTGATAATGAAGATTATTATGATGTGGATGAGAATGGTGATGATGAAGATGATAATGATTATTATGATGATGATGATGAGGATGTGGATGAGGATGATGATGAGGACGAATGGGAGGATGATGATGCCGATCAGCATCATCAGGATGATCAGGATTAGGAGGTTATGATGATTATGAGGAGGAGGAGGAGGGGCATGATGACGATGACACTTCGCACATTCGGTAGCTGATCGAACGTTGTGGTAAGCACAGGATTGGCACTCCCATAGCTTCGAGTAGGTGGCTGTCTGCAATGGCGCTTGCCGAGGTTGACCGTCTCCTCGAGGTTGACTGTCTCCTCGGTCTCTTTCGCCACGGTTCCCTCGCTGATAGTGTCTGTCACGTGGGCCTTTCGGCCATCCAGATTCGCCATGAGATTGCTCTGATGTGCTCGGAGGAGATCAGCAGCTGCGGCGACTTGTACCAGCACGCGAGCCCTGCTGCACTCCTTGCGCGGACGGCGGTGCCAGGCTGGGTCCTCTCTGTCCTCCCGGCGCTGCGCCGTGGCGATAGAGGGGCAACCTCGGCACGGCTTGCCCTGGCGACGCTGGCGGACGGCGAGCGTGTGCAGCAGCAGTCGGGAGAGGCTCGCAGCGTCCTGAAAGTTGCACCGAAAGCCTCGGGCCGAGACGGTGGCTATGGGCAGGAGGCGGGAGGAGGGAGGAGGGAGGAGGGAGGGAGGAGGGAGGAGGGAGGAGGGAGGAGGAAGGATGGGGGAGGGAGGAGGGGGAAGGGAGAAGGGAGGAGGGGGAAGGGAGGAGGGAGGAGGGAGTGAGGGGAGGAGGGGGAGGGAGGAGGGAGGAGGGAGGGGAGCACAAGCCCTTGAGCGCCTGCGGCTTGCCCAAGAGAGGGAGGGGAGTTCAGTCGGCATGGTACAGTGGAATCCCAGAGAGAAAGAAGTAGGGGAGGAGGGGGAGGGGAGGGGGGGGTTCGACCCCCCTCCCTCCATCCAGGAGGGGGGGGGGGTCCGCACCCTCCAAGCGACCACAGAACGCGCTCTTTCAATGGTTTGCTGTTGGAAAGTGTGTCGTTTTCAAACGAGAAAGAATGGACGTCCTGGGGTCCCAGGGTTGGGTTTCTTGTGGAAGGTGCTCTTGTGGTCGAGCTACTGTCACGCAATCGTCCGGAATCATCTTCACCTCTGCCCCTCGTCTCGCCGGGGGGGGGTTTGGCGCGAGGCCGCATTGGCGGGCAGGGGGGGGGTCGCAGGTGTCGCTGGACGCGCTGCCTTCGAACATCTCCGACCTGTACATGGTCTGTCGTCGACACGCTCTGCGCGAGGGCTGAGGGGGAGGGGGAGGGGGAGGAGGAGATGGTGCTTTCTTTACACCTTTTCCCTAATGAGCCCCCCGTCCCCCTTTGGTTTTTGCCGGGTGGGAGGGGCAGGACAAGCGTACATGGCGACAAGACCTCTCGACCGCCAGTAGTGGTAGTAGTAGTAGTAGTAGTAGTAGTAGTAGTAGTAGTAGTAGTAGTAGTAGTAGTAGTAGTAGTAGTAGTAGTAGTAGCAGTAGTAGTAGTAGTAGTAGTAGTAGTAGTAGTAGTAGTAGTAGGAGTAGTATTAGTAGTAGTAGGAGTAGGAGTAGTAGTAGGAGTAGTAGTAGTAGTAGTAGTAGTAGCACTAGTAGCAGTAGTAGCAGTAGTAGCAGTAGTAGCAGTAGTAGTAGTTGTAGTAGTAGTAGTAGTAGTAGTAGTAGTAGTAGGAGTAGTAGTAGTAGTAGTAGTAGTAGTAGTTGTAGTGGTAGGAGTAGTAGTAGGAGTAGTAGTAGTAGTAGTAGTAGTAGTAGCAGCTAGTAGTAGTACTAGTAGTAGTAGTAGTAGTAGTAGTAGTAGTAGTAGTAGGCGTAGTAGTGGTGGTAGTAGTAGTAGAAGTAGTAGTAGGCGTAGTAGTAGTAGTAGTAGTAGTAGTAGTAGTGGAGGGAATCGGCAGGCCATTCTCACAGTGAGATGGCTCATTCGGTGAGCCTGGCAGTGGAGATGACTACATGACCTTCATCTTGCATGCCACGTGTGAGGAATGAGTGGAAGAAATGGTGGGACCGATGATGCTGACGATGATGCTGATGAGAATGGTACTGGTGATGCTAGGGGTTGTGAATTTGATGATGGCGTTGGCGATGAGGGTAACGGCAGTGGTAGTGGTAGTGGTGATGGAGAAATCGACGGTGGTGACGACGGTGATGGCGACAGTGATGGTGATGATGAGGATTTTGATGGTAAGGATGGTTCTTGGTATGACTTCACTTGTGATTATGATTATGGTTATTGCTATGCTTATGAACGTGAGTATAATGTTGTTGTCGATTCGAGTGATTGTGATTGTGAGCGTGCTGATGATAATGATGTTGCCGATGATGATAATGCTGATGATGGTGTCGATGGTGATGTTGACGATGATGGTGATGCTGTTGGTGATGATTATGATGATGACGTCCTCACGCATGTTGTTTAGGAGGATGGTTCGGAATTGACGATGCCTTTGATTATGCTAATGCTGATGCTGATGAAGTGGATGAGGAGAACACAGCAGGAGGAGGAAGAGGACCCGGAAACAAGGAAGAGCATGGGTGGGAGGACGAAGGATGAGGAGGGAAACGAGCAGGAGGAGGAACAGGACGAAGCGGAGGATGTGGAGGAGGAGGAGGTATCCGGAGGCCAACAAGCATACACCGAGACCCAATTCGTGGGGTTGTAAAACATATTTCCACATGGCGATCCTTTAGCGATTGGCGCGAGGCCAACGAAAACGAACAACAACAGCATGAGTGGGGCGAGGGAATGGAGGAGGAAGGGGCGAGGTTGAGGACGGGGAGTAATACGTGGACCACGCGGGGCCAAAGTGGGAAACGGTAAGGCGGACTTGGAAGGGGGGCCCCAAGAAGGCTTCAAGACGGCTTCGATACTTCGCCGCTACGAAAGTTCGGCCAACATTCAACGCCTCCCGTTAGGCGACGGGGCCCCAGTACAACGTTGGCAGTGGGCCCGTTAGGCCGCGGGGTCCCAGTACAAGGTTCGGTTGAAGCATTTTTCGCTCCAGTCTCGGGCGGCGCCGCCCTGTCGATATAGAGCCCGCGGGTTTCGAAATCCAGTCAAGCTCGTTTTTGGGGGGAAGTCCTGGGCGCAAGACACATTTCGAAATCGAGCCCGAGGGTTTCGCAACCCAGTCGAGCTCGCCTTGGGGGAGAAGTCCTAAGCGAAAGCTTCATTTTCGCGTTTTCGGGTCAGGGCTTTTAAAATTTTAAATGCCAAACGGCGTGGCCGTTTCGAAACGGCGGTTTCGCTTGATACTTCTTCGGGAAAACGATTTCGAATGATTTCGAAGCTTTCGGGTTCGATTTCGAAATTGCGCTCCCGCCTAGGACTTCCGCAAACATAGGATTCGAAACCTTTCTGCTTCGATTTCGGAATGGCGCTCCCGCACAGGACTTCCTCAAACTTCGAAGTCGAAACCTTTCTTCCTCGATTTCGAAATGGCGCTCCCGCGCAGGACGTCTGCAACATGAGGTTCGTTGTTTAGTTGAAAACAAAAGACGGGTAAAAACTTTCGTAGCGCCGATGTAATACATTGTTCTTCATGTTCGTGGCGCTGCGCTTCGGATTGTTTCCAGGGAGCATCTGGGAGGGGCCCTCTTGGGTTTCTCTCGAGCCCTCTTGGAACTATTCTACCAGAGGCCTGCGAAGGTCTTGAGAGGAACCCTGGGATGACCCATGAGCGGCCCAATGTGCGACAATGTGAAAACATGCGAGAGGGCTCCTTCTTGACTTCATGTTGACTCCTTTTGGGCCCCCTCTTGGGGCCCTTCTGGGGCCCTCCGAGGCACCCACCCCTGGCGCCGTCCCAGAGGGCCCCGAGACAGCCCCGAGAGGGGGTCAGCGGAGCCGCGACAATCTCACGCGAGAGGGCAATTGCGTGAGTTCATTATGCTTCCTTTGGGGCCCTTCTTGGGGCTTTCATATGTCATCTAGTGGAGGATCCGAAATTCGAAGCCCGGGAACCTGGTCGCGTACGTAAGTTGGCATGACATTTGCGAATGCGCTTTTCAATATCCGCGGAGGCCCGTTCGGTGCAAGTATTGATTGGGGAATCGGTGTTTCATGTTTTTACGGCCGCCACCGCCCCGTAATTCCCAAGCCCACCTCGGAGATTGCCGACGCTATTCGGCCAACCCTCTTGGCCCAGAAGCTTGAACTTCAAAACTATGCCATCTTCCCCCATGGCCCCCTTCCGACAGTGTGCGAAAATCGTTCCCCCTCTCCCGCTGATCCAAGTGGGGCACCCACACCCCCTTTCGGAGAAGGGTTTCGCGCCCCAAGAAGATTCCTTCATCCCCCGTCTCGAATTCATTGTTGCCAAAGGCATGCCTGGGCGCTCGAGTGAACTGGTTGCTCGCGCCAGCGTGGGATGCCCACTGGTGAGCTGGGCCCGCTTCTTTTTCTCGACCACCAGACTCGACCTCCCTTGAAGTCCTCTGGGGCTTATTGGGGGGCCTCGGAAGGCTTCTTCGGGCCCTTCGGAAAGCTTCGGGGGAGCCCGAAAAAGGTTCGAGAGAAATCCAAGAGGCCCCTTCCCAGATGCTCCGAGGAAGCCTGCCGAAACGTAGTGCCAGGAGCGTCCCGTTCGTCACGCGCGACGGACACTCCAAGGGTGGATGCGCCAGGTCTTAAAGTTTGCAGTGATGATGTGCTTCCTACTTGCCATGCGTGCCATCGACCAAATCTTCGAACATTGGTGCCCAGAGTATACCAAACAACATGCCCACGCCCAGACAGCTCTTCAGATGACGAAGAAGAGCACGCCGCAATAGTCATGTTTGACGCAGATGAGGACGAGGGGGGCGACGACGACCCAAGTGCACCTCGTGCGCTGCTGGGATTTCGCCTGCCAAGTTCCCCGAGGAGGCTCAGGCAGCGGGAGAGACCTGGTGCTCCGGGGCCCGGCGCTCGCGAGGTCTTTTCCGAGCCGACCTGCGGGGACGTTTCGCAGTTCGAGGACCCGCGCGCGCGCACGAGCGTCCCCCGCGCGACCAGCTCGTCATCGTCCCCCCTGCGTGTGGTGAGGGGGTGTGACCTACATGGGGGATAAAGAGGAGCACGATCAGTAAAGGGCCCATCCAGGGCCCTTTGTGGACCCTTTGTGGCGCCTTTTTATTCGCCCCAATTTTCAATCACACCCCAGACCATCCCCATGACTGGCGCGCGCGCCTGAGCGGACCCGCGAGACCGGGTCACGACGATGGGGCCAGGTCGTCTTCGTCGTCGTTTGGGCCGGCGGTTCAAAGATGGGGTCCTGAGGGGCCTCGAGGGTAGGAGGGGTTCCAAGGGTGGAATTTACAAAGTTCGAGGCACCGTCTTGGAACCACTGACCAGGCGTGCGTGGTTGCTGCATTTCCCTCCTCGGATGGCGATTCTCCTCCATCGACGGCGACGTCGCCGGCGGCGGCGGCGGCGACGACCGAGAGGAAGGCCCCATGGGCGGTCGCGCCGACGAGGGCGGCGACGGACGTCCCAAGAAGACGTCCGAGCGAGCTGCGAGGTGATCTCGAGTGGAAGCTCCCCCCCAATAGGACCCCAAACCCATGCTGGCAATCCGGCCAACGGCTTGCTCCAGGTTCCTCGGCCAGCGGCACAGTCGTCTGACGGACACGTTCCGCTTGCAAGAGAAGGAGGCGGAGGTGGTGGAGGAGAAGGAGGAGGAGGCACGAGGAGGCAGGAGTAAGCAAGGAGGACAAGGAAGCGAAGAATGCGAAGGATGACGAGGAGATGGAGAAGCATCAAAAGGGGGCATGATGAGTCATATTGTTGAGGCAGGATGGTAATGAAACTGATTATGCTGATGCTGATGCGGCTGGTGATGCTGATGGTGATGGTAATGGTGATGATGACGATGGTTACGAAGACGATGATTGTGATCTTGCTGTGTCTGATGATGATGCTGCTGGTGTTCTGATGATCATGCTCATGATGATGAAGAGGACGATGACGATGGCGATGCCGATGGCGACGACGATGCCAATGATGACGACGATGATGATGGTGATGGTGATGGTGATGATGATGACGCACATAGTGATTCTGATGATGTCGATGATGACGACGATGATGATGCTGCTGATGATGATAACGATAATGATGATGATGCTGTTCCTGTTGATGAATGGTGAGGAGTACACTGATGATTTTGATATGATGATGACGATGATGATGATGGTGATTATGACGTTGATGACGATGATGATGATGACGATGATGATGATGATGATGATGATGATGATGATGACGATGCTGTTATGACATCATGTGATGGCGATTATGATGATGATGATACTGATGATGTTGATGGTGGTGATGATCATGAATACGATGATGATGATGATGATGATGATGATGATGATGATGATGATGATGCTGATGATGACGATGATGATGATGATGATGATGGTGCATTGTGTTGGACAGTGAGGGGGTCATGACGATAGGGAACATCATGACGATGATCATCCTTGTGGTGGTGGTGAATCTGATTCATGAAGAGGAAGGAGGCAGGAGGAAGAGGGAGGATGATGAGGAGGCAGGAGGAGGATACAGGAGGAACAGGGATGGATGCTGAGGACGAGGAGGAGGAGGAACCGGAGCAGGATGCAGGAGGCAGCAGCAGCAGCCGGAGGCAGAAAAAAAGGCCTCCGCAATGACAACAAGCACAAGCGCAATTACGACGAATATGATTACGCTCCTTCAGAATCAGGAGCTTCTCATGTCGGATCCAACCAACGGTCATGACGATAGGGAACATCATGACGATGATAATGCTTGTGGTGATGATGATTATGACTCGTGATGAGGGAGGATGCAGGCGGAAGAGGCAGGAGGGGGATATAGGAGGAACAGTGATGGATGTTGAGGACGAGGAGGAGGAGGAACCGGAGCAGGATTCAGGAGGCAGCAGCAGCCGGAGGCATGAAAAAAGGCCTCCGCAATGACAACAAGCACAAGCGCAATTACGACGATTATGATTACGCTCCTGCAGAATCAGGAGCTTCTCATGTCGGCTCCAACCAACGGAGTACTTCTTGGCTGGGCTGGTGGGGGATACATACACTTACCTATACGACCACTTTTCGGGTGATAAGGAGGTGGGGGGAGGCGAGAGGGGGGGAACCAACATCTGACCCAATTTCTCACTATCTATTTCACTCAACGGGACACCACGGGACACCTCGGGGCACCACATCGATCTCACTATCGATCTCACTATCGATCTCACTCAGCGGGACACCACAGGACACCACGGGATACCTGTCGATCTCATTATCGATCTCACTATCGATCTCATTGTTTGGGACACCACGGGACACCTCGGGGCACCATATCGATCTCACTATCGATATCATTATCGATCTCACTATCGATCTCACTCAACGGGACACCACGGGACACCGCGGGACACCTCTCGATCTCATTATCGGTCTCGTTATCGGTCTCACTATCGATCTCACTCAACTGAACAGCACAGGACACCACGGGATACCTGTCGATCTCATTATCGATCTCACTATCGATCTCACTTTGTTGGACACTATGGAACACCTCGGGGCACCACATCGATCTCACTAATTATCGATCGCACGATCGATCTCACTCAACGGGACAAAACAGGACACCACGGGACACCTGTCGATCTCATTATCGATCTCACTATCGATCTCATTGTTTGGGACACCACGGGACACCTCGGGGCACCACACAGATCTCATTATCGATCTCACTATCGATCTCACTATCGATCTCACTCAACAGGACACCACGGGTCACCATGGGACACCACGGGACACCGCGGGACACCGCTAGTGCCACCGCCAGACGGACGGACGGACGGACCGACGGGGGAGCAATATTTATTGTGATTTCGCCATAGCAACGGCGGACACCACGGGACACCACGGGACACCACGGGGACACCTTTAGGGCCACCGCCGGACGGACGGACGAACGGATGGACGGGGGAGCAACATGTGTCTGGATGTCACCCTAGCAACGGCGGGTTCATACCTCTCGCGCGCTCACACAGCTTCGCCTCGCCCGCACGCACGACACGAACGAAACGAAAAGATCTCCCGTTTGGGGGTCGCCGTTTCACTGCGATCTCACCCCCCAACCTCTCATGGCTGCTGTTCGGCGGCTGGTTGAGTTAGGTGGGTTGTTAATCGTTTTAATCACTTACTCGTTCAGGAGTTGTGGCAACTCCCGTCTGGAAGGAGAGGATGGGGTTGGGAAGACTACTTCGCTAAGATACGTGCGCCCAGCGGGCTGGTGATTTCAGGAGCGGCTGAGGATAGCGTCTAAGGAAACAGAAGGAGAAGGGGGAAAGTGATACTGAAGAGAAGGAGGAGGAGGAGAGATAGGACGGGGAGAAGGGGGAGGAGCAGGAAGAGAAGGAGGAGCGGAGAGGGCGGGGACAGCGTTGCTAAGGAGGGGTAGGGGTATGGAGGAAGAGGGGTGCGTAAACCAGTTCGCGATGGCGCCAGGGGCATCGTCGTCGTCGTCGTTTCGTGTCGTCGTCGTTGTCGTCGTCGCTTGGTGCGTAGTGTTTCGCCCGCCCGCGAGGAAGTGAACCTGGTCATCCTCAACGGAGACGACACTGGCCATGAGATAGTGTCGATGATCATCGAGGCAGCTGGGGGGGAAGATTAAGCAGGAGCGGCAGGCAGAGAATGAGGAGCAGGAGCAGCACACACGGAAGGATGAGCAGGAATTTCATTATGATCCATGCCATGATAGTTTAGGAGGGGTCAGGTTATGATGGTGTTGTTCCTGCTGCTGATGATGATTGTGTTAATGTCGATGAGGATGACGATGACGTCGTCGACTATGATGATGATGTTGATGATGGTGATGTTGATGCTGGTGATGGTGATGTTGATGATGCTGGTTGTGGCGGGTGTGGTCGTGGTGGGTGTGATGGTGGCGGTGGTGGTGATGATGATGTTGACGATTAAGATAAATAACAACGATGATGCTCATGACGGTGACGTTGATGAAAACGATCCGGTTGTTGATGATGAAGATGTTTCTGATGGTGGTGATAATTACCATGGCAACGATGCTGGTGATGCTGCTGATGTTGGTGATGATGATGATGATGCTGATGATGATGATGATGATGATGATGATGGCGATAGTGATGGTGATGCTGATGGTGCTGATGGTGATGACGATGACGCTGACGATGACGACGACGTTGCTGACGATGCTGATGCTGATGCTGATGATGACGATTTTGATCGTGATGATGATAATCGAGAACGTGAGTCAGCCTTATAAGACGGAGTAGTAGACTCCACGACTCCGGTTGTTTGACAGGCGTCACGATCCTATGCCGACACGAACTAACAATCGTGGCAGCTACCGCTTGGTCACCATAACGGGAAGACAGCGCATTCCACGGTTCAGCAGGCATGGCAGGGGTCCACCACGTCACGCCAGCCCGAGAAACATTAAGCACAGCAGTGACCCCAAAGTGACAGACGCCATGACAGACATGTTTTAACACAGCCGCAGACTGCGTTGAAATACAGAGTCATCCGTAAGGGTTTCGCCCCCTGCCGCAGGCCCCCTCTCGGATAATGGGGTATGCAAGAGATATGTTATGAGGCCTGGGTGCCGTCGTGAAGCGGCGTCGAAACTCCGAAAGGGGGCCACTGGAGACATGAGGGTACCAGACGAGGTGCATCAGCTCCCTTGCCTCCCAACAGAAGCTCTCTGTGTTTGCGGGGAAGGGGCGCGGGCGGCAGGCTCGTCTCGCCTTGACAAGCTTCCGGGGCGAGCAGGCCTCATCCACGATTCTCCTCACTCCTCCTTCCTCGTCCACCTCGATCCCCCTCGTCCTCCTCGTACGCGTTCTCGATACTCCTCGATCCTCTTTGATCCTCCTCCCCTTCCTGCGATGGGGCATGCCGTGGGGCGCGCACGCACACGCGCGCACACGCCCGCTGTGTGCCTTTGGGTGGCGGCTCGCTGGAAGCCCTGCGCCCCGCACGCTGTAGCGCCGCGTTGGCCGCCCCCATGGGCCAAGCTTGCTGGCTTTTTCGCTCGACCGCCTCGTCCGATTCGGTTTCGGCGGCTGTGGTTCGGCGTTGTCTCGCTTTCGCGCTTGTTCTCGGCGTCTCGTTCCCGCACCTTGCCTTTGCCCCTCTCCTTGCCTCTGCCATCCCCGCTGCCGCGCGCCCACGGAATCCACTGCGCTTTTCGACTGACAGGCACGATGGCACCCCTTGGGAAGAGTATGAGAAGGAGATTTCAAGAGATGGAGGAGGGGGAAGAGGAGAAGAATGAGAAACGGGGGGCGACGGAGGAGGAGAACGAGGGAGGGAGGCGGAGGACACCAAGTAGAAATTTCACGGGGAGGAGGACTAAGAGGATCAAGGATGGACGTGGTTTTGGCCCCAGATCCCCGTCGTCGTGTTTTCTTCGCACTGTGGACCCCCCGGAGGTCTGGCCCCCTTTACCGGGACGGGTCCTCCATCCTGCGCCGCCTTTGGACCGCTCCAGGGCCCAGCAAGGTCCCCCCCGTGGGCCGGAAATCGCCCTCCTCCACACCTCCCGCCGCTCAGGGGGTCTGCGCCTCCGTCCCCACACCCTCTTCCAGCAGGCGTGCCCCCAGCCCTCTGGGCCTCTTCCCCTCCACCACGCCCAGCCCCCCCCCCCAGCGGTGTCCCTCGCAGGCGCCTCCTCGATCCCCCCTCCCCGATGATTCTCGGCACCCCTCCCCGATCCTCCTCGGCTCCCCTCCCTGATTTTCCTGGGCCCTCCTCGGTCCCCGTCCCAGATCGTCCTCGGTCCCCCTCCCCGCTCTTCGCGGCGCCCACAGGCGGCCCGGTTTCTAAGGAGGCCCCTACCCTCTAAGCATCCCTTCCGCCTTCTCAGAAGCCCGCCCTCCTCGCGCCACCTCCTCGTTGTCCTTTTCCTCCCCCTCCCCTTCCTCCTCCTCCTCCTCCCCCTCCTCCTCCTTTTCCGTCTCTTCCTCCTCCCCCCTCCTCCCCATTCCTCCTCCTCCTCCTTCCCCTTCTCCTGTTCCTCTTTGTCCACCGTATGAATCTTGGCTCAAGGCCATTCTGGCCTATAAGTTGACTTGCGCGATCTGGGACGCTCCCTCTCCCCCTGCCCCTCTGGCCTTGCCGCTCTCTGCTCCCTCTGGCCTTGCCGCGCGCAGCGCTCTCGGGTCTTCTCCCCCTCGCGCGCCATGGCGGGCCTTCCCGCTGAGAGGTGCGGCGGCGCGACAGCTCCGACGCCTGATGCGGGGTCTTGTAACGATTGCAGTCGAGTCACGAAGCTCTCCGTTCTCGTCCCCCTTGCTGGCGTCAGAGAGTTGTCCGAACGCGCCCCCAGGTACGATGGAGTTGATGAATGCGTCCATCGACCTGCGTGAGCAGATATTGGGACTCACAACGGTTCATCCAGACGTCCTCCGACCTGTTTTCGTGTCGTTCCCAGATCCAGGGCATGCAGTCCGATTTCGTGAAAATGCAGAGTGTGGTTTTAATTCTTCATGTGACCACCAACGACAGGTTTGTTGACATCAGGCCTCTCCAGCATCGTTGAAGAATGCGCGGTGCGATCTGGAAGATAGGGGATTGGGGCATCGGGGGATCCATGGTCTGGAGAAGCCCACGAGAGTTCAACGCGCGGCGCACATGCGCAGAGCCGCGTGCTAGGATGCGCGTAAGTTTTGGTTTGTCTGGTGCTCTTCGCGAGGACGGTGCGGCTTGTGCCCCCCCCGATGAGTCCAGTGAGGCTTTTGCTGACCATTGGTCGCGCGTTTTTTGCTGAAAGAATCTATGGCCGCGCCCTCTGGTCCGAAATCTTCAGACACGCGCAGCCCGCCGACAAAGACGTTCTGGACTGGCCTCTGGACAGTGATTTCGCGGGACGGGCCTGTTTCACACGCCATTCGGCTTTTGGGGGAGGCGGGGTGCCTCATGGGTGCCGGAAAGCGGGTGGTGCAGCTGAGATGTCATTTTCGATCTAGTGTCAGATGTGCGAATCGTCAGGTCGGTCTTTGAATTCTGAGAGGCGCCGTGGACGAATGCGCTTCCTGTCCGAAGATGTCGAGGCTGACGCTAGCCCTGCAGAGGTAGTTAGGACTCCCGGGGAAACTAGCCCCTTGACTCCGGCGAACGGAGATGCCGATATCCTCAGTGACGCCTTCTATTAGCCGCCAGAGATCCTCGAGGTCTTCAGTGTATCCCATGCAGGAAGGCGGCGCCCTTGGTCGTGGCTTCTCGGGCAATGATGTGGACCTCGAACGGTGGGGGCTTCGCCAGTTGCTCACCGGGGGGGGGGGACAGGCCCGGGTTTTGCGCGTGGATTTCTCGTCCTCGTTCCCGTCCCAGTTTATCTCCTGGGCGCCGGCTTGGGTGATTTCCAGGAGTCGCACCGCGAGAACGCTGCAGTCGTGAATTTCCCGGGGGCACCGCCGCGGGAGATTCTTGTCTGTCGCGGCGTTAGACAAGGCGACCCAGCGTCGATGATCCTCTTCTCGCATGCGCTGGGCCCTGCCGCCAGACGGAAGCGCGTGAACTTGACGGGGGATGTTCCAAGGGTGAGGGCATACATTGGTGACCTGAGCTCCTGTGTTGATAGTGTCTTCTCTAGGCCGTCTCCTTCTTCATTATCTGTCCATGCGTGAGCGCGATTGGTCTCGCTCTGAACGTCGGCAAGAGCGCAGTCTTAATGGTTGGCTCCCTTGACCCTGGTCGGCTCTCTGCTCACCCGCGACGCAAGGGCGGTGTCTGTCGCGATCGTGGATTCGCGGGGGTGGGGCTTCATCTTGGATTTAGGATGGGAGACTTCGAGGGTCGGGCTGGGATCGCCGATGGCCATCAAGTTTTGCACGCGCGCTGCGCGTCTCTCTTGGATTGCCAGTTGCAGCTGCGCCCAGCCGCGCCAGCCCTGCAAATGGTTTAGATAGAAGGCGTTCCAGGTCATCGCTGCGAGGCCGCGGAATGCCTTTTCCAGGAACATGTCGTCTGGGCCGAGGGCCTCGGGGGCCCCCATCGAATGCCTCGACTTGGACCTGTTCTCGAAGGCGACTCCGCTTCGGTTTGCGAAGACCTGCGCGGCGGCGCTGGGCGCCGCGCAGTATGAGTGAGAGGATATGGCGATGAGTCTGGCTGATGATGAGTCTATCCCAGCGAGACTTGGGGCCCCTTGTGTAAAACGCTCGCGGCTCAGGACTGTGGCCAACGAAACGGGGGCGCCCTCAGCCCCCGCCGCCCCCCCCCCCTCCCCAAGAAGAAGTGCCAGAGGAAGTCGGCTCGGCTACGTGAACTTCTCGATCCCCTCGCCCCCTTCCGCGCCCCCGCGGCGAGGGTGGGCGAGCGGGCGGGGGCGGGGAGGTTCCGCATCTCTGACTTTCGGGCATGTGTCTTGAGGACGATTGCTGTGGACTGTGAGGCGACCGCCCAGTACGTCACGGATGTGATGAGAGTTCCTTGCCGTGGGGCGCGCGCATCCAGTCGGCTACGCCACTCAGCGCTGGGGAGCGCCGCGCTTAGATGCTTGTGGCCTGGAGCGGACGATGGCTTGCTCCACTATCGCGAATGAGTTAGGCTGAAGATGTTTCTGCGCTTGTTCCCTCGATCGGGGCGTCTACCATCTTGGCTGAGAAACTT